ATAATATGAATTTCTTGGAGGAATCATTATTACTGCTCATGATTCAAACCCTGGAATTTTCATGGGGCATTATTGTGACATGTGAAAAAGTATTTTGGGGTACAGTTACATGTGGAGCCAAGCTTAATTGTCTATTTTACTTTTCTTTCCCTTTTAACCACTTCATGCAAGAGAGCTACTAAAATCCTCTACTTTCTGATGCAATTCTTAATAATTGCAAATTATTATATCAACCTGCAAGGGTTAATGATGGATTTAAATTATGATGAATACGTGGGTTCAGTGAACCAAATATAATGAAATTAGAGTTATAAGAAAAACATAACGAAAATTAAAATTAATAAATGATAAACTGTATAGTATAATCTATTTATATTTATTATGTGACAAAATAAACAATTTTACGAGTGAATTAAAATTAGGGAAATATAACTTAATTTATAAAGAAGTTGTTAATTTTAGGACCAAACAGACTTAACTGAAATAAAATTAAACGACAATGCTATTACTGAAATAATTAATTTGGAGAAGTCAGATGTTTAATTTATCAAAATTTGGATTTGTATGGAAGAGTGGTTTTTGACTATATATGAATTTTATTGAATATCTAAGAGTGTATGATGTTGTTGTATAGGTGATCATAATATTTCAATATATATGTATAATATATTCTGAGAACAATATAATCCAAATATAATATTTTATTATGTAAGTATACAATTTTTGCAAAAATTGTATATATTATTTGTGTAGCTCCAAAGGAGCGCTCTTTCCTATATTTTGTAGCTAACTATAATGATGATGGTTTTGAAGGGAAAAATATTGTCCCATGAATATAAATGGGAACCTCTGTTGTTTCTAATTAAAATGCTAATAAGATTTCAAGTATGATCAACTTTTTGTTTGTAAATGTCTAGCTTTCACTCAACATTATCAATGCCTTATTTAATTGCCTTAGCATTAGCAGAAATGATATGCTTGTGGGGTACATTTGGCTAATTGTGTCCCTCCTCTCACCAACCTTAATCTCTGGAAAGTCCAAAATATGTAGTATATCTTACTAGTTCTTGTGGATTAACATAAATAAATATATATATATATAATATATAAATATTATATATAGTATAATCTAATAATTGGAAAGTTCAATTAAAAACCTTTCGTAATTTATACTAATTTCATTAGTAGTTTGATTTTCATGACGTACAATAATTAACAATTTAATATATAACTATTGTAGATTGGATCTATGATGGAATATACAATAACATATAAAAAAAGGAATTTCACATTTTATTTTATTATTTATTACCAGAAAATATGAATAAATGACATTTGCGTGTGGGCGTCCTTCACTGGGTATGAGCTTTGGATCGAAACTCGGCCTTTTTGGGTCGGAAATTTTAACTCTACGCTGGAAAGCCCAACATATTTTGTGTGTGTATTATTGGGCTCAATTATCTGGGCCCAGAGAGGTGCTTCGATTCACCGCTCTTTGCAAGCATAATTTATCTTGTCCAAACAGAAATAATTCAAAATGGATGTAGATTTTCTTTTTCTCCATACCACCGACCTAAATAATATTGTAAATAGAAGTTGTCACATTTTTTGCGCACCAGACCATTGAACAGTTGATAAGCTATATCATCTTTAACTAGTTGGGATGCACAGAGAAGGTCATACTTTAAATATTTGTTTTAGACTTTATTTAAATATAATTATTATATTTTTCACAACTCATCTCATTATAAAAATAAATAAATACAAACAATGAATAATCACATATTATTAAACAATTATCTATACACAATATTTTTTATTTACGAAATATATTAAACCTTGTAGTTTTGATTCATTTATTTTTTTTTAAATCAACTAACCAATCTATGATTGTTAAACAACGAAACTCATTTTCATAGCTCAATTATTTTTTCAAGATCAAAGACACTCCATGCAAGGACGGATCTAGAAATTAAGAGTAGACTGGGCTAGAATTTTAAATACACATTTTTATTAAAAAAATCATCAAATATTTACTGAGTTACGGTCGACGAGCTTTTACAAAATAAAATTCATCAATAATATAATCTATACTTATACTATTAGTAAACTCCCGCTCGGTGAAGAGAATCAAACAATCTTCGAGAAAACTATCCCCAATCTTATTACGAAGTACTGTCTTCACATGCTTCATGGCTGAAAAGGCTCGTTCGGTTGTAGCGGTAGAAACCGGTAATGTTAGAACTAGATGGATCAATCTAGTTAACATAACATACACTTTCGATCTACCACTCTCTATTAATTTTTGGCATAATTCAACGAGCGTAGATGCCTAAAAAATTTCTGAAAATTTCACAATACCAATATAAGCCACATATGCCCATTTATTCAAGTCAAATATGAGTTCAAATATAAATATTTGATTTGAACTCACCATTTATACATTATATATCTATGATCAACCATTAAAAAATAACAATATATAAATTATCTATAAAAGACAATCCCCTACAAGGCCATACAAACAAGATTAGAAGAAATGAAAAATCCTTCAAATTTCTCTTTTCCTCTCCAAAAAATCTCCCAATCACTAAATCATATCATACACACTAATCAAACCTCATTACACCATTTTTTTCTCCCTTTGCAAGCAAGTGTCACATGAACTTAATAAGATAACTAATCCAACGAAATAAAATTAGAAAACAAAAAAAAAAGACAAAAAAACATGTACAATACAAAAAATATAGCAATTAGCAATAGCTATCAGAAGTGTGAAAAATTGAAATCGTAATCAAATTCACGATTCACGCATTGTGCAAAATAAAAATACATAATCTAGTCATGAGTAATATAGGGTTTGTGAAGAATTTTTTTTTTGCTACCTTCTAAATCGGGGGCCGAGTGTGGCTGGTCCGTCGATGAGAATTAGACTGTCGGTGAACGCAATCCGTAGATATCAGAGGTAGAAATAGCAGAAGTCGATGTCGAGCCGAGGAAGAGGTGCTCTGTTTCACTTTTTCTCTTGCGTAAGGTTATTTGTTTATATATGAACTAATATACAAATTAATAATTAAATGTAAACTTGGCAAATAAATGTAAGTTTGGGTTGGGAAATTGGGCCTGCTTTTTTATTANTTTAGATCTATTTCAAAAAAAAAAAAAAAAAAAAAAAAAAAATTGAAGTTACTAGGTGTAAAAGAAAAAAAACGGACCTGGGCTTCAGCCCAGCCCAGACTTATGATGAATCCGTCCCTGACTCCATCAATGCTTGTTTCAATTTTACAAATTGCAATTAGGGTATTTGTTAAACAAATACATAATCCAAGCTTATGTTTCTAATATATTAAGGTGTTAAATGTTTAATAAAACCCAAAAGAGATCATATCCATGCCGTTACAACATTTATCGGCTCTTTTTCCTCCAATTCAGCCAAAGAAGGAGAAATTAGTAGTTATTTAGCATAAGATTTGAAATTATTGCCACTAAAGCACAAAAATGCTTGATCCCCGCTACGCACTGTACATGGTATTCCAAGTATATATTACACTATATCTGTCAAAAAAAAAAAAAAATCTATTTCATTTTACTCGACAGAGATTATTATAAAACTGGGTTTTTAGTTATGTATAATATAAAAGATTGGGAAAGAAAAACTATAGGGGTGATTGTTTATGAATTCATCTAGAAATTAATTGGTTTTTTTTAACTATAGTTACTTTTAAAAAAAATTGGTATGGTTAGTTGTTAGTGGATATATTAAATAATATTTAAAATAAAATAATTAAAGTTGATATGATGTAAAAGTAAGAGAAAAATGATTAGAAATGGTGGTTAGTTAGAATTATGTGAGAAGATGAATAGTGAATTAAAGTTGATGTGATGTGTAAGAATGATTGGTTGATATTATTTAATTATATTGATAATATTGGAGAAAGTGGAGTTGGGTTAAAGTTGAGATAAATTTGAGTTTTGATTGGTTTTTTTCTAGGTGAGTTGATAAACAATCACACCCTATATCATTCAGCCATATTTTCCTCCTTTGACCGATTTTAGTAGCCCTTAGAGCATCCACAATGCTTTGGGTCTCTTGACAAAAAATCACATGACATGTAAGAAATAGACATAGTCTATAAAAAAATACTTTCCAATGCAATTAAAAGTGGACATGGTCTAGCTTATGTGGCAATAAAAAAAAGAGACTAAGTCCACACTTGGGTCTATTTTAGACCTAAATACAAACTCAAACACTAATTATTTATTCCTACTTTAATTTTTCTTTTAATAAAACAAACATATTAGATAATTTTTATTGGTTGACATATATGCTAGACTCAGTATTTTTGTTTTTGCATTGCAAAGTTATTGAAGTTTTTTACTTGGGTTTGTCCACATCATCATTTAAGACTCAAGTCCAATTATATGCCATATATACAAAAAGAGACCCAAAGCATTGTGGGTGCTCTTAGAGCACCCACAATATGGCATATAATTGGACTTGAGTCTTAAATGATGTGGACAAACTCAAGTAAAAAACTTCAATAACTTTGCAATGCAAAAATAAAAATAGTAGGTCTAACATATATGTCAACCAATAAAAATGATCTAATATATTTTTTTTATTAAAAAAAAAATTAAAGTAGGAATAAATGATTAGTGTTTAGGTTTGTACTTGGGTCCAAAATAGACCCAAGTGTGGACTTAGTCTTTTTTTTTATTGCCACATAAGCTAGACCATGTCCACTTTTAATTGCATTGGAAAGCATTTTTTTATATACTATGTCTATTTCTTACATGGCATGTGATTTTTTATCAGAAGACCAAAGCACAGCATTGTGGATGCATTAATAGCTTCGACTTTTCCCAAATGTCTTTCCCCTCTTTTCCTTTTACGGAATTCGCGAGATCAGATCTGGGGAAAAACACACCGCACGGCTTCGTCACTTTTAAACAGAAAAATCCCACAAAACCGCTAAATCGCCTCCTCTCTTTCGAAAATCAACCGCCGCGTGCGAGCACCAACACTCGATTTCCGTCGGGACGTGGATGCTCACGAGCCCCAACCATTGTTCGGCGAATTCGAGCTCTCGACGGCAGCCCTGTTCAGCCCGTCCTTCGGCAACTCGGGAACCATTGCTTCGTGTAGTCGCCGCCCTCTTAGACCAACGGTATTTCGCTGAGTCAACTCGGATCGCAGGTGTAGGCCGTTCTGGAGGAGTCGATTTATCCGTTAATTAGAGGGGGTAATGAGGACGGGCCTTTTCAACCGTCGGACGATAAGGCAGGGAGCGCTGTCAGTCGGATCGGTGAAGATAAAGCTGATGCTTGCCTGCTGCATCGTGTTCACATTTATTGCGCTAGCAAGTCGAACGGCGACTTTTTTGGGTTGGAACAAATACTCTGCTCCTCTCCAGCAATTCTCTCTCCCAGGGTATGATCCTCAATTCTATTTAATTTACCCGTATTATTTTTCCGTATTCTTAAGTTTTACATAGGTTGTTAGTTTGCATTAATTGAACTTAGTAGTTTGGATTTGGTTACTAATTGCTTAGGATATGTTTGTCTACTATTGGTTTAATCCTCTAAATTGGATCATGCTCTTACAAAAGGAAAGCAATAATAAATATGTTTTTGTTACTCTTTATGGTAATTAGTGTATACCCCGTGCGATGCACGGGAATAATATTAAATTAACAATATTATAAATAGACCTCGAGTTTGAGTCACTCAATGGCGGAAGAGGAAACTACTATTGATCCTATTTAAAAAGAGGAAGAAAAAAAAATAATTATAAATTAAAGAGAGGATAAACAATACTTAATAATTATAAATTAAAGATTCGGAGTATTTTGTATAAGAGAATAAAAAAAATTTGATTACACACCATTTCAAAATTATTATTATACTTTTTTGTATGGTTAGCTTATAATATTTGTAAAAATATTAGTAATTAGACCGATGAAAATTAACTTCTTAAAGTAGATAATGGATTTATAGTAGTAATTATGAATTAGTTTCTATTTTATTTTATTTTTTCTTTTTAAAGATTATGAATTTCTAGTAGTAATTATGAATTGATTTTTATTTTTTTTTTCAAATCTGTATAGATAAGGATGATATTTTTTAAACACGTGAGACGTATGCAATGAGATTTTCTAACAGAGATAAGCTCGTGTAGATTTATACTAAAAATAGGAAAAAGAAAAACAAATATTTATTGTCAAACAACGGTTTTGATAAACTAAAAAACAGGAAAAAGAGAAACAAATCTTTACACAATTAATGAGCCGATTTTTTTGTCTATTCAGATTTGTTCAACAATTACTATATGTAGGATATATTTAATGATTTTGGTGGGAAAAGGTTTCTAAATTTGTAAAAAGGTTATTCTTTTTATATAATGATAGATTGCTGATGTAAAGTCGCATATTCTTTTGCAAATCAATAATAAATATGTTTTTGTTACTCGTTATGGTAATTGCTGCTGTAAAGTCGCATATTCTTTTGCAAATCAAGAAATCACGAGCTTATTAGGAAAGTACAAATGGAGATTCCGACTTACTTCAGTATGTGTGCTTTAGATCATACAAGGACTTTCTAATTTCTTCACTGGGTATTTTTACTAATTTGCCAGCGTCTTGATTCATTACTATTTACTCTTCTTGCATTCTGTGCTCATTTACCCAATCACGTAGTCCTCATGATCTAATCTAGCAATTAATATTTCCAGTAATATCCTCCTTTCATACTGGTTCTAGAATAAAGTTCAATTTATGAAAGTAGAGCTAGATAACTGCATCCCAGTTCGCTTCCAGCCTTCCACATTGCTTTGTTTAAGCTAGCAACTGCTGCTCTTTGCAATTCTAGTTCTTGGCAGGGGTTTTCCTTCTGCAAACATTTCCTTATTGGAATATAGGGTATCGCGTGAATGGATTAAACAGTGCATATATTCGTGGTTAGGAGCTTGATTTATCTGTTTGGACTTTTCAGATTGTTCCTCGCGTGATGGAGACAAATCTTTCGTACTGGTTGCATATGAAATGACATTCATTTGTGTACATAAAGTTAATATATATCTTTTGTTTAGAAGCTCATATTCTGTTCTTTTGTAACATTATAAATTGCGCTGCTTATGATATAAATGTCTATATCCTGAATTTTGGTTGTATTTGTGTGGGCTTCTAGGACTTAAAATTCTCAATTCTATTACTAAGAAACAATAAATAATTCCCGTTGGATATGTACTTGCATATGGACTTGTGTGTCTATCTTATGCTTATATATAGATCTGTGCGTGAATTTATACAATTGCAGCCACACATTCATATTAATAATTTTTTTTTTCATTTTCCTTTTTTTTTACTAATGTTAAACTTTTATTTCATATAGAAAAGGTTATACCTTATTGATCAACACCTGGAAAAGAAGTGACCTTCTAAAGCAATCTATATCTCATTATGCAAAGTGTCCCGGGCTAGATTCTGTACATATCGTGTGGAGTGAACCTGACCCACCTTCGAAGTCCCTTGTCAACTTTCTGAACCGTGTCATCAAGATGAACTCCAAAAACAGTCGACCAATTGAGTTGAAGTTTGATATCAACAAGGAAGACAGTCTGAACAACAGATTTAAAGAGATCAAGGATTTGAAGTCAGACGTGGTCTTCTCCATTGATGATGACATTATATTTCCTTGTACAACAGTGGAATTTGCTTTTAGTGTCTGGCGAAGTGCACCAGATACAATGGTCGGGTTTGTGCCTCGTGTTCACTGGTTTGATAAATCGGTATGTGCTCTCATTTTCATGTTGGGTTAGTTAAGGGAATTGTCCATTGTTTCACCTAACTTTAGAAAATGCCTTGGATATTGCAACATTCCCTCTTCACATTTGGTTTTCTTTTACATATTTCATCATCAGTCAGGAGTAAGCAAAATTGTCTTTTGGGGGAGCTTGTAAATTTTGGAAGTTAACTAGAGCCTATTGTGATTAGCCTAATTCTCAGGCATAGTTTTTGGTAAACTATCATCCCTTATCTCCTCAGACCATAGAGAAGTGTAGCTCAGTAGCCAAACAAAAGATGTCTCATTCCTACAAATATAATTTTATTATTTGGAATATATAACTTTGATGGCAAGTTTCTAGCCCAAGTTCTCGGTGGATATAATACCTTGAAACCTAGCTACTGGATAATGTAAATCTCTTCTAAAGCAACTTAAGTTGCATTGAGTCTGAGCTTTTGTTGTGTTGCTGCTTTTGACACATGTACTTTGAATATGTGGGTTTACTTAAAAAAAATCCTGATAGTCTTGTTTTTGTTTGTTGTTTACAGGAAGGGAACGAGGACAAATACATTTATAGTGGATGGTGGTCTGTTTGGTGGACCGGAACATACAGTATGATCCTTTCCAAAGCTGCCTTCTTCCACAAGAAGTATCTCAGTATGTATAGTTACGAGATGCCATCGTCAATTCGAGAATATGTGACCATGAATAGGTTATTATCGACTTACATGCTCATTAGTGGTTGTATTTTTTTTTTCTCCCCTCTTTTTTAATCGTAAAATACTAATAATGATCTAACTTTATGTATAACCAGGAATTGTGAAGATATTGCAATGTCTTTCCTCGTCGCAAATGCAACTGGTGCTCCTCCCATCTGGGTCAAAGGTAAGATTTGCCTTGTCGGCTGTCAACCTTCTACGCGCTTCAAAATTGCTACGTTTTTTGCTATATTCGACTAGCATACGTTAGTTAATTGATTTTCTGCATTGCCTGGTCTGAAATCCTTGTCTATTCTGAACCTGTAACACTCGTGGAAATAACACATTCTTATTTCTCTAGATACATTTTATATACTTATCCAAACTCTAATTCAATCTTTTTTCCCGTCTACACCAAAGTTTCATGTATTGCTCTCTATTCCGGTTCACATGTATCCTATGTTGTATGGTGATGTAGGTAACATTTTTGAGATTGGTTCAACCGGGATTAGCAGCTTGGGTGGTCACACTGAGAAGAGGACTGAATGTGTTAACCGTTTTATCAGTGTGTATGGTAGAATGCCATTAGTGTTGACTCCGGTCAAGGCAATTGATAGCCGATTTTGTTGGTTTTGGTGAAATATGGACTGATTTTCTCATGGCTTTCCCATTTTTCATCTCCCCCATTGTCCCACTTATTGATGTTTGTTCCACATTTGACGTTCCAATAGTGTGACACGTGTAGTCGTAGCAATTTTAGTTCTACCATTGTTTGTAGAAAATGTATATTGCAAAATGAAAGGTCAAGTAATTGTACTTCCACCCATGCCATTGGGGCTATACATCATATGGTAGGGTCGAATTTGCCAATATTCACATCATTCTCTTACATACACCCATTACCTACTCTGAAATACTGAAAATGCGAGTTTATCTAATCATATCTAGTTTATAATTTTGGAGCGGCATTGACCATAAAATTTGAGATAGCTATTTTTACCCTACTTTGAAGATGGACTAAGTTTTCCACATTAGACCAAATCATGCTGGATTAGCCTTCAAGATATGAACCTGGAACGCCTTCGCGATATGAACCTGGAACCAATCTGGATTGTGGAAATAAAAGACCGAAAAATTAGATAAACAAACCGAAATATAATTTTAAAAGGGTGGAAAAGAAAATGTTGGCCAAGAGAAAATTCAAATAATATAATGAAATCTTAAAATCAATACAGAAACACAGGAAGCAGGTGATGGTTTATAGACGTAGTCATGGTGCTCCACATGGTCACCCTGAATTTGTGCTCTGCCGGCGGCCATCACCGCCGAGTACAGGGCGCCAAACTCCTCAGCAGTCCCCTGTCGGCATCGATCTTCTCGATAATCACTCGCAGCTTCTCCTCTGGCACACGAATTCCAGATTCTCCAGCGATTTGCCGAGCTCTTTTCGACTGATCTTGTCGTTGCCGTTCATCAAGCATGGAAAAGATTCGGCGGAACTCCTGCGTGCCCATCCGCATTGGTTTGAACCAATAATTTTGGATTGAACCGATAATTTTGGATTGGTTAACAATATTGAACTAATTTTGGTTGGAAAGATTTACATGATATATATAAATCTCATCCAAATTTATGAAAAATTTCATCCACATAACCAAATTGCATGGGCGGGAGTTATGAAAAAAAATTCAAAAAAAATTTTCGGAAAGTGTAAAAATCGAAAAAAGAAGCAGGAAAATGACTTTCCTCTTTGGGATTTTTTTCTTATTTTTTCTTAACCGTACTATATAGTAATAAGCTTCATAAACACATTTTTGAGTCAAAAGTTCCAAAAGACTAAAATATATATTATGGTTTATATTTACTTAAAAATAATATTATTTTATCTTGAAAATATTTTGTTACTATATAATACATTTATTAATTATTCTTTTTTTTTTTAAATTGTTTCCTATTTCTTTTTGGTTATTTTTTCTTTATCATCCGTGATAAAATTTTATTTTTATTTTAGATAATGTAATATCAATAATTGATCTATATCTATTGATTAAACTTCTTAAAAAATTTAATCATTTATTTTATATCTAAATCGAACTAATATATTCTTTCAGTGTTGTGATATCAATAATTTGATATCAAATTTTTAAAAAATTTACAATCAGTTATTCTTTTCAACATAATCTAAAATTTATTCGATTAAAAATATAAAATTTATAGATTAATCACAAGGATACTTATTTGGAAACAAAAATATAAAATTTAAAATATTTATTGAAACGCCTAGAAAGGGAGACTTAATAACTTTAACATTTTTCCTATTTAGTTTTCGTAGCGTCTTCTACTCTTTTTCCTTTATTTTTTCTTATTAAGTATTAATGCCAATTATTTCATAAATAATAATAATATTTTTTTTTTTGTTTTTGATCTATTTTTAAAAAAAATATAAAATTAATCTTCATTTTACTATCTTCGATTTGACACTTATATTATATGAATAACAACTATTTATGTTTAAAGTATTAATAGTTTATTGTTTAATATTGCATATATATAATGAACTTGAACTTATGATTTAATACAGGATTGAAAATAAAGAATTAATCTCAAGATATTTATACTATAAAATATAAATGTATATTAATAAATGTATTGAGTATAAAATAGTCTAAAATAGTCGTTGCTAAGTTTACCCTCATGAGTTTAAAAATTAAGGAAATAATCTCAAGATATTTATACTATAAAATATAAATGTATTGAGTATAAAATAGTCTATAATAGTCGTTGCTAAGTTTACCCACATGAGTTTAAAAATAAATGGTGGAAAAATATAAAACTATAAGTAAGAAATTATTTTAAGGATTACGTATATACAATATTAAAATAAAAAATCAACAAGTCATTTGTCGAACTGTAATGTAAATTATTAGATTATAAATAAACATTTATATTATGTATTGCTATAAATTATGATAAATCAGCGAGCATTTCTCGAATAAAATGTACATCATAAGCTTATAGAGAAAAATTCAAATATTTATAATATATATAATTATAAGTTATAATAATAAACCAACGAATCATTTATCGAACAACAATGTAAATTGCGTGTTTAGAAAAAAAAAAATACTTATTGCTATAAACTATAATGATAAATCAATCGGTGTGGAACTAGCATGTGACTTATTATATTATAAAAAAATTATAGTATTTATAAACTAAATTATTATATATTATACAAAAAAAAAAATGAGGTAATTAAAAAATTAGTAAATTTATAAGTTAAATAATATACCCTACATCCTTTTAAATCAAGTGTCAGTTAATAATATTGCCATAATTTTTCAACTTTACCATCACTAATTTAAGAATCAAAATAATATATTATAATAAGATATAAGTAAGATAAAATAGATAGAAATATTTTTGTGGGTATTATTTATTGATGATGTTTGTTAAACTTTCAATTTTTTTTTTTAATTCTTAATAGGAACTATAAAATGAGAGTTATTTTATAATGGTGAAATACACATATAAATCATTAATTATTCAATTATATATCATAAAATAGAGAAATAAAACTAAAATTAACTTTAATATTCAACATTATTTTTATATTAATGGATATTATAACTACAAAAATTGTTATATTCCTACGGGAAATCTTACGCTAATATATTCTAGTAGAAATTCCAACAGATATTTCAATGGTATAGGTTCCATTGGAATTATTCCAACGAAAATTCCAATGAAAATATTCCATTAGAAAGAGTTTTCCATTGGAATTTTAGAAGAAATTTGATGATTCCAACGGCTATTTTTCTAATGGTTTTTTACCGTAAGAATTTTCGTTGGATATGCAATTTTCATTGGAATTTTATTTTCACCCCCATTGTAAAATCTACCGTTGGAATCGTCAAAATCCAGCAAAAATTCTAATGGAAAACTCATTTCAGCGAAATATTATTGTTGGAATTTGCGTTAAAATCCATTAAAAATTTTCAATGGAAATAATACTATTGGGATATCCATTGAAATTTCTGTTAGAGTTTCATTAGAATATATTTCGTTGGAATCTTTCATTAGAATTTCATCATTTTTTTGTAGTTTATTTAACTATTTTAATGTATATAACTTATCATTATATTACCACGTGTAATCGTACGGCTACGTACTAGTAATATCTACGTGAACAAGTTGTCCGGTTCAATATAATTAAGTTATATTTAATTCTTTTTATCATACCTAATATCATCAATTTTTGATTTACTGGCATGTAATATACTCATGTGTCCTGTCAAGCATTTACCGAATAAACTCATCATGTGCAATGTCATGCCTTTAATTTGCACCTTGTTTTTGTCCATAAGTGAATTACATTCATATAGTTCGAGATTTTTCTTTTTTTTTAATCCAAAACAATTCAAATTCGTAAAGAAGACACGAGTAGCACAACCAAAAAGTAAGATAAAATTGCATGTAAAACCTTGGAAACATTTCACAAATTATTTGATTTTTGGATGAAAGGCTTATTTAAATAATTTAAATCACATATTATTGCTAGATTAATGATGTACTTATGAATAAGTTGATTTATATAAAGTCAATTTTATAAAAATAGATGATGTCTATGTATGGAGAAGTCCATTTTAAGAAGTTTATTTAAGATAAATATGCAAATGTACTAATTTTATTGATTAAAATTAATAATTTGAAACAATTTTACCCGGAAATTAATAGGATGTGTGCATGATCTTTTGTGCCTGAAATTGGGTTGAAAGTTCGAATTTAAACCGAAAATTTAAAGGGCTACGTTCCATAAAATGTCAATATACAACCAAATTTAGATTTCCGATCAATATTATTTTTTTCTCTTAAAAACAATTACTTTTTAAAATTACGAATCTGTTTCGAATAATACTACTTCTTTTGATACATCCCTTCATTAAATAACAAATAGGCATCTTAACTTGGTAATTGATGTACATCATGCATATACTTTTCCAAATATTATTTTGTATTATTTCCTTACATATCTTACATCGTTTTCAAGAATACTATTTTGAAATATTTCCTTTCACATTGTTGATTCACTAACCAAATTCAAAACATTTACCTCTATATTTTGTCACCACATCTATTTTAATTCCATTTTTTCCCTCAAACTTTAATATATTGCAAATTAATTGATTTGGTAAAAAATAGGAAAGGCACATATATAGTGCATGGTTGTTGCTGTAAAATTAAAAAGTCGTATTTTCGATCCATAATTTATGCCTATAAATTCTCACAAATCCAACCTACCAAAATAATACATCACTCTTCATTTACACTACTTGCCAAAACCTCTCAGTAAAATTACAAAAATGAAACATATATAAATCCACACAGAGAATCTCACACAGTCACACATACAAGACATATTTAATTTCCACGCCCAGAAACAAAAATTCAATTAAGTTCAATGAAGAAATCAAATCATAAGCTGATGTTTTTCATTTTGTTCAGCCTATTATTTCTTGATTTTACCAGGCCCTTGAAGATCAATTCAACTAATGAAACCGAGAGAAAGGTATATTTATATATTTATCGTTCTCAATTTCTTTTCAAAATACTTTTTTTTAGAGACACTAAACGTTAGTCAGGTCAACCAACAATTTTTTCTTCTTTTTTTTTCGAAATTTTATAAATCATGTTTTTATTTATGTTTTCGTTATGATATTTGAATTTTTGATAGTATCGTGAAATGTTTTGGATAGTTACACCGTGAAATGACATGTCGTGTTTTTACTTATAATTTATTTTATAGTGAACTGTGACGTTCGAGTGTATAATTATATTTGTTCATCATGAACTCTAGCTAAGAAGTTAGAAATATTGTAGAATTATTTATTTAATTTGATAATTGATTGATTTATTTAATTTTTATGCTCGTTTTTTAAACAGGTGTACATTGTTTACATGGGGGAATTGCCGAAGAACACGATATCCGTTGTGGACCAGCACCACAGCCTTCTATCAAAGACCATCGGAGAGTAAATATTACATCTATAATATTTAAAATATATATATATATATATATTATTAATTATTTACAATTGTTAGAGACACTCTAATTACAAAAAAATTTAGTCTCCTAACTATGATCTGTTAGTATTGTAGTGTAATTAAAGTACGTACCATTAATTTATAATTTTTACAAGACTAGAAAAAAATATATGTCACATGTCTACAATGAATTCAATACATTGTAAAAGTTGCAAAATTGAAATTAGATATGATTTTATTAATTTATACCTCTTTATTTTTTGAACTTTTTCAGCGAAACAATAGCTAGGAACTCCAAGGTACATAGCTATGGAAAGAGCTTCAATGGCTTTGCAGCAAAATTACTGCCTCATGAAGCAGAAGAATTATCGAGTATGCATTATTGATTTATTTATTTTGCATTTTAAATTATAAAAGTTACATTTTCCATAACAAATAACAAATTTATAAAACTACACGCTTTATGATAATATGCATATATGTTGAAAATATCTGACTGTCTCACAATTAAGTCAGCCTAACGACACTAATTTGATTGTTATACATGAACTAATTTAATTTAATTTTTTTTTTTCTAAATCATAGAAAAAGAAGGTGTGATATCAGTCTTTCCAAACGAGATGCTAAAGCTTCAGACAACAAGGTCATGGGATTTTCTGGGGATGCCTCTTGATGTGAAGAGAAATGAACAAGTTGAGAGTGATACTATAGTAGCCCTATTAGATACAGGTAAATTGAAATTAAATTTTAAATAAAATGGGAAATCTCACCAAAATAACTAAATAATTAGTCCTAATTTTTTTCCTGTATGTTAATATATATTTATTTATTTTTGTTATGAAGGAATATGGGTAGATAACCCAAGCTTCAATGATGAGGGATTTGGTCCTCCACCTAAGAAATGGAAGGGCAAATGTGACAGTGGCCAAAACTTCACTGGCTGCAACAAGCAAGTCTCTAAAACCATTCTTGATTTTTATTTTTAATTTCCTTGCCAGATTTAATGAATTGCATGAAAGTATTAGTTATTTAGAAACAATTAAGAAGAGCAATTTCTGAAAAGTAAAATGTAATTCAAAATGATTGTAACTTGTAGATAATTCTGCACGTGGATAATAAAAATTTGAAGGTAAAAAATGTACAGATGTAGAAAGAAAATTATATACTACTTGTAGTGTCTGACATCATTATATACAAATTATTATCTATTATAGCATTTTATTATAACTTTAAAGTCAGGTCGAAATATGACTGTTGCAATTGTCGAAAATGATAACTGAAATCATTGGCAAAATTGCATTACATGTCAAATAATGAATCAAAGTAAGGAATTACAAAGATTTAATTAATTCCATGCATATTTTGGGCAAAATTGCATAACATGTCAAATAAAAGGTTTTCAATTTATTTTAATAATTAGGATATGTATTTTGTAATTTTGATAATATCATCAATCTGGAAATTTTCAAAAGTTTCAAATTATTTAGAATAAATGCCATCCTGACCTGACGTCATCATGACGTGCTTTTGTTCTTTATCAATTTGCAGCAAGGTAATCGGGGCCCGTTTTTTCCAAGTGGGTGACGAGGGCCCGTACGACGAGCCGCCCTCTCCCGTCGACCTCGAAGGCCACGGCACCCACACCGCCTCCACGGCGGCCGGCATCCCCGTCGCCGGCGCTTCCCTGTACGGCATCGCGGAGGGGACCGCCCGCGGCGGCGCCCCGCGGGCCCGGATCGCGAGCTACAAGGTGTGCTGGGGCCCGGGATGCCAGGACGCCGACCTTCTGGCGGGGTTCGACGCGGCCATCGCCGACGGGGCGGACGTGATCTCGGTGTCCATCGGAGGCCGCACGCGCAAGTTCACGGAGGACTCGATCGCGATTGGGTCGTTCCACGCCGCTCGGCGGGGGATCCTCACGGTGTGCGCGGCGGGGAACGACGGGCCCACGGCGGGCTTGGTCGAGAACGTGGCGCCGTGGGTGCTCACGGTGGCGGCCAGCACCACCGACCGGAAGCTCGTGACGGATGTGGCTTTGGGCAACGGGAAGAAAATTCCGGTAATTTCCCCCCTTCTTTTGTGTGTGTTTTAATTGTGTTGGTTTGCACTAATTACATGATTTAGTGTAAAATATTGAATAGGCGCAAATGAATTGAGTCGAAATCGAGCTCCTGATAGTTCTGTTAGATCTATCGAGTCGAGCTCATAATTAATTAAAACGAGCCATTAATCGAGTTCAAGCTCTATTTATCGATTGTGTGCGCTAACGATGTTTCATTTATCAATCCTTATCGAGCTGAACTAATGAGCATCTGGTTTCTATTAACATCTCTGTTTGTGTAATCTTCTTTTGTGTATGTGTGTTTTGCAGGGAGTTGCGCTTAATACATATTCACCAAAGAGACGAGTATATCCATTGACAAACGGAGCTTTTGCACGAAACTCCACTATTATTCCCTATGCAAATTCCAGGTGATTGTCATGAGCTGTTTGCATTCTTCATCAGAAATAACTGCAATTTTTCCTTAATTATATGAAAATGGACTTTTAAACCATTATTTGCTATTTTCCACAGCGCATGCGATTTTGGGTCATTGAACGAAACCTTAATAAGAGGAAAAATCGTGTACTGCCAAGAAGCCGGTGGTGATAACACCGTCCCGTTTTCTGGTGGGGCCGCCACTATAATGTCCGATAACGATTACTTGGATGTCTCTCGTCCCACATTCGGCCCAGCAACTTACGTAAGCTATGACGATGGATTATACATCGACAGCTACATAAACTCCACAAGGTAATTAGATCGTTTGTATATATGTATTTTGGTGGATTTCGTTCGACTGGCTGATTTAAGGCTCGATTTATTTTATTAGATTACCGCAAGCCGTTATATTCAAAACGAAGAGCGTGAACGTGACCGAATTCTACGTGGCTAGATTTTCATCTCGAGGCCCTCAAGACTTGAGTCCGAACCTACTCAAGGTATTTTGTTTTATATCGTTTACACTAGTGACCTATCGTTCGTCGTTTTTCTTTTT